AGAGAGAAAAGGCGACGACTAACGTGAGTGTTGAATATTATTAATTTTTTATTCATTCTTTGGATGCCATTTTTTGAGATTGCAATTTTTGTGATTCGATCGAAAAAGTGAAAAATCATGAAAATCAATAGATGCTCACAAAAATTGGTTACACATAACCCAACTTTCAAGCGAATGCGCTGAGTTCACAATACATGCGTACTATTCCTTTGTATAAACGAGTCAAGCACGCATAGTTTACATTTGATTGAAACAGGGCTCATTGATTTATGATATTGTTTTCGCTTGAATTCAACAGAAAATGAAGCCATTCAAAGGTGTTCCTGGTAGACGCTGCAAGCGCAAGTCAATGTGCACAAAGGTTGAAGTCAAGCAAGAGCCTGGTATTAAAGAAGAGCCCGCCAATGATGAAGGTGTAATTAACACACCTCGGCCGAGAGTTGATGGAAGATATCGTGCGAATTACGAAGGACCGGTTGACTTTGACTATGACTTCGATGTGTTAAAAGATGAAATCAAAGAAGAAGAAGAAAAGACGGTCAAGGAAAAGAACAAGAGGGCACATCGTGAACAATCGAATGAGAGCGATGCTGCCAATAATGATAACAACGAAGAGCCCATGGGTGACGCAATCGATGTTCAACCACCGAAACCAGTCGACAGTGAGAGGAAGCGGAGTGGAAGCTCCAGAAGGCAAAACAAACGAACCATTCCCAGGAATCAAGCGAGCAAAAAGCGAAAGAAGCACAAATGCCATGTGTGCAATCATTTGGCACGTGACAAGTCTAACCTCAAAGTACACTTACGAATTCACACTGGAGAAAAGCCGCATAGGTGCGAAGTTTTCTCAAAGTCCTTTGCACGAAAAGGTGATTTGAACGTTCATAAGAGATTGCATGGTCCGAAGCCTCAGTTTCGTTGTTCGAAATGTTATCAAGGATTTGAGCAAGAATCAGTCAAGATCGAACATGAACGGTTATGTAATTCACGCCAATTCGAATGCGATATTTGCGGATATCATACTGTGATGAAATCCAGTTTGACAGTTCATATGCGGACTCACACAGGGGAGAAGCCGTTCGAGTGCTCAATTTGTTCCAAATCATTCACAACCAACACACAACTCCAAGGACATTCAATGACTCACAAAGATGAACTGCCGAATGCTTGTTCGAAATGTGGTCGACGATTCGCCACACCAGACGATAAGCAAACACACGAAATGCGTTGCCAGCGAAGTCTTTTCGCATGTAATCAGTGTCATTACAAAACTGTTAGCAACCAAAATTTGAAGCGGCACATGCAATCAAAACACGGAGCAAAAAGATCGATCGAATGTGAAATTTGCAACAAGAAGTTCATCCAGCAGATAAGATTGAATCTGCATTTGTCTACAGCACACAACGACCAGTTCCCATTCCAATGCTCCAAGTGCTTCGGAGGATACGCAAGCGAAGATGCAAAAGAAGCTCATGAAGACAGCTGTGGCTACCGTCAGTATCAATGCCATTTGTGCAACGAGCGTTGTCGAGACAAACAAAAATTGAAGTATCATTTGCGCAAAGATCACACCGGAGAGCGGATTCAATGCGAAGTGTGCTCAGCAAGCTTTACCCACAAGGGCAATGCCGAGCAACACATGAAAACAGTTCACCATTTGAAAAAGAAATAAGTCACAAATTCTAGAGATTTATTAAAACGTAGTTAAGCTTAAAACTAATAATACACTTTCATGACACTTACAAAGCAATTTCAAATAAAAGACAGTCACATCAATCAATTGAATAGTAATAACGAGCATGCACCTGAAATTGAAATAACATTTAATATTTTCCGAAACAAAACTGCATAATTATCGCTTGAGATTTAAGCTTCAATTTTGATTGAAACAAAACAAAACATGAATACATATTGCAACCGGAATCAAAAGAAAAAAGCGGCAGAAGAGGGTTGCGTTTAATTTCTGAGTTCATTTTTGCGGCGATTTTCTTCTCCAACGAAAGAAACAAATGGTTTTGGGAACATGTATTATCTTGGCCAACTCTGTATTCGAATGTGGTCGACGATTCGCCACACCAGACAATAAGCAATCACACGAAATGCGTTGCCAACGGAAAACGGTCAATTGTGAAATTTGCAGTAAACAATTCGTTGATCAGATTCATTTAAATCAGCATTTATCACCCACACACAGCGACCAGTTCCCATTCCAATGCTCCAAGTGCTTCGGAGGATACGCAACCGAAGATGCAAAAGAGGCTCATGAAGACAGCTGTGGCTACCGTCAGTATCAATGCCATTTGTGCGAAGAGCATCGTCGACTCAAACAAACAGTTGAAGATTCACATACGAAAAGATCACACCGGAGAGCGGATTCAATGCATGGTGTGTGCAGCAAGCTTTACCAGTAAAAGTGATGCCAATAAGCACATGGAAAGAGTTCACCGTTTGATGGAGAAATAAGTCGCACATCCCACCGATTCATTAAAACGTAGCCAAAATGAAATTAGTTTTTCATGATTCTGACAAATAAACAGCTTAAAACAGATAAAAGACATTCGCATCATAAATTGGTTTGAATCGTTTCAACGAGCATGCATCCGGAATAGAAATAACATTTAATATTTTCCCACATAATTTTTTTTAATTATGGCTTGAGATTTAAGCTCCCATTTTGAATGAAACTGAACAAAACATGAAAATACGTATTGAAACTGAAATAAGAAGAAAAAACGGGTGAAGAGTGTTGCGTTTAATTTCTGAGTTCATTTTTGCAGCAATTCTCTTCTCCAAAGAAAGAAACAGATGATTTTGGGAATATGTATTGTCTTGTCCAACTCTGCATTCGAATCGGGTTTGTACATTTTCATTACGAAGTCTCAACTTCAAAATATGTCGTCCATCTCATTATCCGAATGCTCTATTTCAATTGATTTCTCATTACTTGTCCATTTGCTTAATTCTTTGCCCACACTTAACCAATAAATGTCATACTTCAGACTTCAGATATTTTCGATTACAAAAAACATACTCTTCTAATGCGACTCTTGTTCAATTCATGGATTGGATAACAACAATAGATCGATGAACGAATGACTAAGAGTAGTGATATGCGATTGCAGTCGTTTATAGAAGACACAATGGGTTCATTTCACATAATTTTTCCACACAAAAACACAATGGATTCAATCTCGTCAGCCATAATTCGGTTTTCGGTTCTTCAGACAAATCCTTAACTAAATCAATAGCTGACTGTGATTAATAATCGCATGTACCGCGAATGGATTTATTTCTATCTTGAATCATATGCATTTGCTGAATGAGTTCGTTATTGTTTCACAACTAAATGTTTCCATCATTCAGAATTCCGCGCATCAAAGTGTTCGTCGTTTCCATTGGAATTGCTTTCAATTTTCGCCCATCTATCCAGTTTCCCTACAAGTTGGAAGTTTTGCTCAATTGACAGCTACCAATGGAGATGAAGTGTCACTTTGCGTCGTTGAGAACTTGACGAAATATACCAACACAAACAGCGCGCTTGCAAGTGTGCGAAAATCAGCTTCGATGCTGTGGCCTACACTGTACGTTGTTCTAAATTGTTCCGTCGACCACATAGTGAAGCAGACATTTTGAAAGATACGTGGAAAAAATATTTTCCAGAGAGAAAAGGCGACGACTAACGTGAGTGTTGAATATTATTAATTTTTCATTCATTCTTTGGATGCCATTTTTTGAGATTGCAATTTTTGTGATTCGATCGATAAAGTGAAAAATCATGAAAATCAATAAATGCGATCAAGCGAATGCGCTGAATTCACATTGCATGCGTACTTTTCCTTTGTATAAACGAGTCAAGCACGCATAGTTTACATTTAATTGAAACAGGGCTCATTGATTTATGATATTGTTTTCCCTTGAATTCAACAGAAAATGAAGCCATTCAAAGGTGTTCCTGGTAGACGCTGCAAGCGCAAGTCAATGTGCACAAAGGTTGAAGTCAAGCAAGAGCCTGGTATTAAAGAAGAGCCCGCCAATGATGAAGGTGTAATTAACATACCACGGCCGAGAGTTGATGGAAAATATCGTGCGAATTACGATAGGCCGATCGACTTTGATTATGACTTCGATGAAGTAAACGATGAAATCAAATGTGAAGAAGGAGAGACGGACAAGGAAAAGGACTTGACACCATGTGAACGATCGAATGACAACGCTGCCGCCAACCATGATGACAACAAAGACTTGATGAATGACGCAATCGATGTTCAACAATCGCAACCATTCGCAACCAGTGGGAAGAAATGGGATAGAAGCTCCAAAAGACTAAACAAACAAACGATTCCGGCTCATGGACATTTCTCCCCGGGCGAGCGGGCAAACGAGCGGGCGAGCGGGTAACCCGCTCGCGCATATACCGCACCCGTTTGCCGTCCGCCCGTTCTGATTTTATCAAGCGGTCACACAACGGACAAAAGCGGGCGAGCGGGCGGGTAAACGGTCAAGTAAACGGCAGATAATATATTTGGCACCGCTGCCGTTTGCCGCCCGCCCGTCTTGATTTGGCTCATGGTCATTACTCCCCCAGCGAGCGGGCGGCACACCGGTTCATGTACCGCACCCGTTTGCTGTCCGCCCGTTTTGATTTTATCAAGCGGTCACACAACGGACAACAGCGGGCGAGCGGGCGGTTAAACAGTCAAGTAAACGGTCAAGTAAACGGCAGGTGATATATTTGGCACCGCTGCTGTTTGCCGCCTGCCCGTCTTGATTTGGCTCATGGTCATTACTCCCCCAGCGAGCGGGCGGCACACCGGTTCATGTACCGCACCCGTTTGCTGTCCGCCCGTCCAAATTGACGCAAGCGGTTATCTAACAGATGGTCAGCGGTTGAGCGGGCGGGCGGGTAAACGGCCATTAAACACCGCACCCGTTTGTCCAACCGTTCAGATTAGCGCAAACGGATGGTATGCGGTTGCGCGAGCGGGCAGACGATCCTCGTTCGCCCGTTGAGGTACTGCATTTGTCACTTCATGGATGATAATTGAACAGGTGAGCGGGCGGGTGAACGGTTATTCACACATGACACAAGAAACTTGACCAATTTTTTTTTAGATTTCCAAAACCGCAGATCGGTTTTCGAAAGTTGGCCTCAAAAAAATAAGTTTGCTATCAACAATTCAGAAAATGTAGAAAAAAAACCTTTTCTTAAAATGTATACAATTTTTGAGTAAGGTGGTTTCGGAAGCCTGGGTATTTATCAGAGATTACTATTGGATATTTTAATTCATATGGTATAAAAATATTGCATAAAAATAACAGATATTTTTCACGCGTTTTGTTCAACGAAACGCATAAATACACAATAGCGATTCTGCACACACAGAGTCGCTGTTCTTTCGTTATACTCTTCACACTTACGATGAGCTGCGCGGAGCGTGCATGCACATGTTTCGCTCACTTCTTTCTTTAATTACTCTGCGTGTGTCAACGAAATGTCTGTGTGTGTATCGCTTGTGCCGTCGTTTGTAAACGACGTCAATGAGCTGCGCGATGCATGCATTTATATGTTTTGTATTTACACCGCCAAAAATTGGCTGAATATTCGGTTTTGCAGGAAAATGACTCCAAGAGTCATGAAAATCCTGATCTTTTTTTAAATATTGGTTCGATTTTTACGTATATTGACAAAGGTAACTATATTCCATTATAAATAAATAACAGATCAACAAATCACCAACTCAATGAATGGAAAATCGTCGAAATCGGTCACTGTGTTTGGTTTGTCAAAGCAATTGTTCAGTGTTATTGTTGAATTTTCTGTGTGACTTTCATTGAATTTATCGATTGCATTCTTCATAACATCAAATGAGTGGCGGCTCTATATCGCAGTAGAAACAATTGAATTTGTTTCAAAAATCTAATTTTATTATCAATGAATGGCTATACACAGTCAATGTTACTAAATTTCAATAAATTTGTGTAAAAATCACAGTTTTGACTCATTAATTACAATTGTGGCATTTGAAATCTGATCTGTTTATGCATCAGATTCGAGGGGCAAACCACTCAAAAGTAATACTGTGTATTAGTATTACTTTAAGTAATACTAATGTAAATATTACCTTAAATTACTTTAGTATTACTTTTTTCAAACAATAGTATTATTTTTAAAAGGAGTATTACTTTATCAAAAGTAATACCACTTTTACCTAGTATTACTTCGTATTACTTCGCAGGTGTTATGTATTACTTTTGAGTGGATTGCCCCTTGATCAGATTGTCCTTGATGTTTAGGTAGTTAGTGTGGCGCAAGGTACGAATGCTATCACCGACTGCTATATAATTGCGTACAGTAGGACAGTTTGCGTATCCATTCACGATATCGTAAATAAATACAATTGATACATTTACTCTCCTTCTTTCTAATGATGTCATATCCAGGGCTTCGAGTCGCTTGTTGTATTCGGTGATATTATATCCGTTGGCCGCTGAACGATACTCTCTTCTGGCAAACTGAGTAAATTTCCTCAAAACACTCTCGATCTTGTCGATATGTACGGCATAAGTTGGTGGCCATACGACGTTACAGTACTCGGGATGAAACTGAACCAATGCATAGTACAACGTTTTGAGCGTTTGTACATCGACTATGTCAGAGCAAAATCACCTGAT